GAAGAGGATAGCAAACACTAAAACTATGACATATGTCGCGATAATAAGATCTATAAATACTCAAGACATGTTTGTTTACTTTCTGTTCCGTTCATTATTTATGATCTGACATGCGTGTAAAGAAAAGTACACATGTGTGCCAGACTCTTTCAGACTATTTCACAAGTATACGACGGCTACATTCTTCTACCAAAGAAAAAATATTATTTAAATACCGGTAATATTTTTTCCACTTACTGAAATATGTTGTCCGGTCAATACAAAATAATATTATCCATATCAGACAAAAGCCAAACACTTCAGACATTATTTGGTATAATGTGACACCAGGTGTTAACAACTAAAAATTGTCGAAAACAATCATTGCTGTAGAACGTTACACAGATCAGACCTTGCCACGGATGACAATGCCATATTATGTCGAAACCGAGAGCTCTGACAATTCTTGTGGTCAAGCTGGGACCATGTCAATAGGCCATGTGTAAAGCTCTGCTCATTGGTGTACCGTAGAGAACGCATTAACAGAGAGTATTGATATCTGGAACGGTCGTGATAATAATATAGGTATATATGTTCACATTATATACTCAGCGTCTATATAAAATGGGGGCCACAATTCGCTGTGCAGAGTTGCGTCCCTTAGACATGCCAGAATCCTATGATCGTGGGTCCGAATCCCATAATTTTCACCACTATTTTGGATCGGTGGGGTAGCTCGTCACGCCGCCGTGAGACGGAATGTGTGAGACCTATTTCTGGTGTCCCCCGCCATGACATTGCCGGAACATGGCAAAAAGCAAAGTAAAACTATACTTACTCACTCACTCGCCGCTATTTTGCCTTTTACGAGCAGTGGAATCGGTTCCGTCGGATAATCGAGACTGGTTACTCTCTGTCATTGACGTTTTATATATGCTTGAACTGATCGATGTTTCTGATTGGAGACTTAAGTCCCTGAGTTTCATCATAAGATCAGTAGCATTTTTCAATTATGCTGAGTCAACTACAAAATGTTTGGGCCGAGACATTAAGATTTCGTCGTAGATTTACGTAAACGTACTTTACAATGTATGTGCAGGCGGTCATAAATAATGGATTCTGGACCAGACAGTTAAGTGGTTGACATTTAGAACATTGATCCACGCTTTTGGGATACGATGACAAGCAGCAACCAAGTTACAGAGTATGACCACCCGACCCATTTAAACGACTCTTATGATCCGCGAAGATCCGGGGTAGAACAGGTCTTCAGCAACCCATTCTTACCGTTAGAGGTGACCATGCTTAGCGTAAGAGGCGATTAACGGGATCGGTGGTCAGGCTCGCTGACTTGGTTGATCCATGTCATCGTATTCCAATTGCGTGGATCGATGCTATTGATGTCAATCACTGGACTGTCTGTCCGGACTCGATTATTTACAGACTATGGAATATTGCAACACATAAACAAAGAAACAAAACCGACTTTTACGACAAGCAATGGTTGCCGGGGATTATATATTTACCCGGAATCTCCAAGAGTTCCAACAATCTAATCAGTCAGAGAGGACTCGCTACCGATACACAATGATCTGGGGACATCCCATTACTGGTCACGTCAGACGGACCTTTCGATAACTAACCCCAGGTGACGTAGGTAGAGGAGATACAGGCACAATCAAAGAGCACAAAACCTCAACCATCAAATCAGACAGAACACCAGCCCTCTCGGACCACATCAGCAACGGCCCTGATCACAACATCAACTGGGACAACGTCCAAATCCTCTCCAACAACAACAGACCGCCTCCGTGGTCTTGTGGTAGAGTGTCCGCCCGGAGAGCGGAAGGTCCGGGGTTCGATCCCCGGCCGCGTCATACCAAAAGACGTTAAAAGATGGTACTTGTTGTTACCCTGTCTGGCGCTCGGCATTAAGGGGCTAAAACAAGGACTGGTCGGCTCGGAGTCAGTATACTGTGTCTGAGTGGGGTATTCATGTTAAACTGCAGCATGGTATCTCAGTGAGCTAGCACTATAAATCGGCATCAGTCCGGACTAGTACAAGCAGCCACACAAACACATACTCGTACATGCACGTCGCTATATAAGTGCAATAATCTTGGACGCGACGTTAAACCGAATTTCACCTCACCTCACCTCTCCAACAACACCCATGACGTCACTAACAGAAGCAGTCCACATTCGCCGCCACAAGCCATCAATCAACAGAGATCAAGGTTATGTCATCCCACCCGCCTACTATGAACTCATTAAGCAATAAGCACCAGACCTATGCAAACTTATCCTGTTTAATTGGCTTTATGTCCCATTGGCTTCCACCATTGTGTTCTCTGTCCATCGTGTTATGACAGTATTATCCTTCTGTTGTCATTACTTACTCATGTTATCCCACTCATGGATGCAATTGTGGGTACTGTTTGTCCTCTACTGTTAATCCCCCACCTACTATATATATTCGGTACAATGTTCCTCATTCGCCCACGTAGGAATATACGGTAATGAAAACGCCGATAAAGCAGCTAAACTATCCCTCAAAATCCCAGAAATAAGCTTAAACTTACCCACCTCAAAATCAGAAATTAAAAGTGTAAACAAGCAAAAAATCACCAAAAAATGGCATAACCTATATCTAAACTCAAATAGCCAAATCAAAAAAGTGCTCAGCAAACCACTAACCAAACCAAAAATTCTCCATCCATCCCAAAAAATCGACAGAGTAATCACTAAACTCCAAACAGGACACACCAACCTAAATAACCACCTAAAAAAATTGAAAAAAACACACTACAGGTAACTGCCCACACTGCAAACAACCAGAAACCCCAGAACACGCACTCATCCACTGCACACACTACCTAACACATCGAACCGCATTACAAACCACCCTCAATCTAAACAAGGCTCTAACTCTAGAAGCAATACTAAACCCACAAAATAAACTAGAAAACTTCAAGGCCTTAGGCATATTCTTAATCAAAACGGAACTAATAAAACGCATCTAAAAACACAATAACTCACCAAATCAAAATCACATAAACAAACAAACATCCACCATACCCAGCTCCCTTAGTTCTCCTCCCCAATCCCATCGGCATCTATTCCAAATCTCAAAATTCCCAAATTCTATATAAGCAACCCCTAAAACCCCCCTCTTGGGTTGCACAGACCACCTTCGCCCCTTTCGGAAACACATTAAATGGCCTGGCCGGGCCCGTGTGCGAAATACGCATCAGTCGGAAAGCGCACGTTAAATCTCCAAAGTAAGTAAGTAAGTAAGTCCTCATTCCTCGAAAAAATCCCTCACTAAAGCCATCTGGCATTAGTACGTGAACTCATTCGAAGTCACAATTGTGATGACATTCAGCCTCCAGAAAGTCACTACAAAGGGTTACACCCTCCCTGGACTTTAAAAACTCCCAAAGTTGACACTGCTTTAACATCAGAAGTCACTAAAAAAGAAAACCCAACCCTACTACGATCAGTAGCTATCACTAAAATTCAAACTACCTGGGACAGCTGGGCCCATATATACACTGATGGATCCAAGAATCCTATCAACAACAGTGCTGGTTACGGGATCCATATCCACAGCTCCAAACCCCAAGCACTTTCAGTTCGCTTGCCTGATGGTCAGTCAGTATTCACGGCTGAATTGGAGGCAATTCATCATGCACTCAAACTCATTCCGGAACTTCCGGAAGCAAAGGCAGTCGTCCTATCAGACTCGCTAAGTGCACTTCAGGCCATCAGTGGCAGAAACTCAAACTCCAGGCCAAACACAGTCAACACTATTCTATACGAATATACAAAACTATCGGACCAAGGGCAACAGGTGGAGCTGTGTTGGATCCCCTCTCACATAGATATTCATGGAAATGAAAAAGCAGATTCACTGGCGAAGCTAGCTCTAAACAAAGCGGATATACAGCCTACTCAAATGAAAGGAAAATTGAAATTGCTATCTCACGCCTCAAACTCGGTCACAAAAAGCACTATGACAAGGTTTGTTCATCTTGCAATCAGGCTGAAACCATTGATCACGTGTTACTAGAATGTCAAGACCATGCCCCACCCCGGGCTAGGTAAAAACAAGAATTGCAATTAGATCCGCTATCTGTCATAGATCTCCTAAAGCCAAGAGAGGCAATAGCGAAGGCCAAACTAACTCTATTTCTTTGAGATGGACAGCTACTCGAACGTATAAAAACAGAGCAGACAAGGATAGAAATGAAATCATATCAATATAAGAAAATAGAAATCATATCAATACAAAAACAGAAATTATGTGAACACCAAACTCACAATAGATAGGTGTACCCTGCTCACACACAGGAGTCCCAAAGAGGGACAGGTCAGCCGAAATTGCCTAGGCAGAAGGCGACCTCCTAAACACTTAATGCAACAACAACATCCTCATTCAGTGCGCGAAATACGTATATGTCGGAAAGAGCACGTTAAATTCCTAATTTAAGTAAGTAAGTCCTCATTCAGTCTTGCTCGACAACGGTATAACGAAACGTCGCCTCTACAGCATTAAAGAAGTTGTTATCCATAAATTGGGTCTACTTGGTCATCCGTCAACTTCTAAGTAATGCCTATCAAACAATTCAGCTTCATTTATTATTTGTTAAACTCTTAAAGCCTAGTTTGACTCAGCTGTAGGATGTCCTGCGCTCCATTTAGATTTTTTTACATTTCTTTTTTTTTAGACAGGACCCTGTCGAGCCGGCCGAAAAGAGAATCGACTGGTCACAATGGCCGTCCCAGCTGACAAGGTGTCCGGTGGTATAGATCGTGCTATGAAACATTTTTTCCTCGTCCATACAGATTTATTGAAACAGCTGTGACACAGCTGTAGTTTGTTGACTTTGTGTAAACTAACCCTGAAACTGGGACACGCAAGAGAGACCCGCGGTCTATACAATCCATACCTGTAATTAATGATATGAAATATGAAATATGTACTTTGATATAGCTTGGTAGGAGTGGGAATACGATCTCATTAACATCTCGTTGCTTGGATAATGAGGTAGTGGTATCGCCAGCAGGGATATTTTAATGTTATGATTGAGCTTTCTGTGGATTGTGTTTCTTCACACCAACTGATATACACGTTTGACGACTGTGTTTTTACTAACGGAATTGTAGGTATGTATTGTCGATCTCCTTCGGTGTATTGTGATATGAAATATTAAGTTATGATATGTAGGGGCTGAGAATGTAAATTGAACCTGTGAAGATCCGGGTTAGAACTGGACCCCGTTCGACAAAGCCATCTTAGCGCTAAGTTGGTCTTAACTCCCACACTTTAACACTGGCTTACGATAGTCGTAGTACTAAGATCTCTTTGTGGAACGATGCCCTGGTCTTCAGCAACCCATGATTGTCCAAAGAGGCGACTAACGGGATCGGGTGGTCAGGTTAGCTCTCGGTTGTTGCATGTCATCGTATCCACTTGCGTAGATCGATGCTCATGATGTCAATCACTCGATAGTCTGGTCCAGAGCCGATTATTTACAGACCGCCATCATATAGATGCAATATTACTGAGTGTAGCAAACAAGCCAACAAGATGCCAATGCCATGTGGAGTCTGTTTTGAGAAAAGTGATGAAAACCATAACCATATGCATGTAAATGAACTTTGTTTATGCCGATAAATTCCTGGACATTAATGCATTCTGACAGCAGAGATATAAATGTTGTTAGAAAAAAACATTCAAAAAAGGAATTAAACTTACGTTTTTAATTTGTGTTAGGGTGGAAAGGGCCAATGTCTGTATTTTGGCCCCTTTTGACCCTCAGGCATTTGTATGGGATTTAACATTTGGGATTGAGAAACTACTACTGAAAGTACAGACACATACTATTGAAGTACTTTAAATGATTTATAATAATGCCAACTTTGTTGAAATAGTTGAAACATAATAATAAGGTGTCCAAACTTTTAAAATCTCTCTCAGACAACCTGTCTCAACCAAACACGAAAATGAGAGCAAAAAGGGCCAAAATCTAGCAAAGTGACTTTGGCCTTTTTGGAACTTGACTTTGGCCCTTTTACAGAATGTTAAGTAGCTATATTTCAAAAACGCATCAATGAAAACATACAATATATTTTCTACAGGTAGACAAGAACTCATAGATGTTATTTATACAATAATATGCCAAAAGGGCCAAAGTGCATTTTGGCCCCTTTTAGCTCTACGCTATTCATATTAAAATGCAAATGGTCAAAAGTAAAACCTATAGCTAGGTCTTACAATTCAAATGCAAAACCTCAGAGCAAGTCTAACTTGAAAGCAAACCTTTCACAAGGTTACAAAGAGATAGCAAGATACCTGCGACACTATAGACAGAAGTGGACGGTGAGTTTATAAATAATTCATTTTTCTGCATGTTTCAGAAGGTTGCAGAGAGTGTCCATCATCATGCTGTTAAGGATGAGACACCTTTACGTGTTTTTCCTGTCCCTGGTGATTCTGTGGATGGGGCTGGTGTGTATATTCCTCTCCTGGCCAAACAGCGAGGGGCGACGGATTTGGCCTAGGATCACAACAGGACATACATTGAGAGAGGCACGTGCGGTAATACCGCCGGATATAACAAAGGATGACGGGAATGACATGAAAACGAGACAGCGATCGGATGAGAAGGATGTGTATTTTTTGCATCAACCCGATCGTCCTGACGAAGTCGTTTCAGTCAAGAAGGGGTTTGCCAGTGTAGCGTTGAGAGGTGATTGGCCACCCGAGCCCATTCCAAATGAACCCGACTTTGCTGTTGTGAGGAGTCTCTTCAACATCACAAATGCCGGTATGTCAGTTTCAAGCGTTTATTCCATTGGTTGGAGTCGTTGCGAGGGTTATTGTGTCATTGTGTGTTTCTATGAATAACACTCGAACTTGTTCTAAAGTTCTAACGCTGAGATGTGGTGCTTTGTTGCTACGGGAAAAACATTCCCGTGGCATATCAGACGCATATTCTTAAGACAGCCGGGGGTTACAACAAATAATTCTGGAGTTGGGGTCGTATCGGAAGTACCAAGATGAATCACTTGAAATAGGTTAAATTACTGCACTAGTTTCCAGTCATTTTCTCGAGGCAAGCGTGTCCACTACCCTATATCAAAGCCTAGTTTCTACCCTTATCACATCAAGGCCACTTTTCTTGGCTCGACCCTGGCACCACCTCGCGTAGATCACGAGTTGTGCCCCTTGTAATGAAAACGCGATATCCAATCAGATCGCTCTTCTTATCTCGTATAGCTTCACAAAGATAGCGACTACCATAGGCGACGACCTCGTTGATCAGATAACGAAAACATTCATTTCATCCCTGACAAAAAACATAGGCAATCGTTGGGAGGTTTAAAAGATGAAAAAAATATATTTGTGTCAACAAAGACAGGCAACGATAAACCACTTCCATACGAACGTGTACTAGTCGTGGATGTTGATTTTGGGGGGATGCTGCATGTTGCATGTTGACAGATGGCATGTACCGATGACACGTCAATATAGGTAGCCTAGAGTCAGCGCGTTCTCTTGTCACGCAGAAGGTTCTGCTTCGATTCCCAAAAAGGTAACGTGCGTGAAGGCCATTTCAGGTATGCCCCGCCCTGAATACGTGGAAAATTACAAACGCGGCACAAAGACTTACTCACTCACTCAATATTACTAACTATTAGATACCGCCATCGCAAATATTTATTTATTTTAGTTTAGTTTCAGGATGTGTTATAATAACATGTTTTGTCATGTCATATAGATTAATAGTAACAGGTTTTGTAGTAGTTCAATCAATTTGCAACATCTGGCAATCAGTTAGATCATTCATAAACTTGTCAGGCTCGTCACGATGTGTGATCCCTGCCGTGAAAAATGGTTGGAATATTGCTAAAAACTGCTCAATCACTCACTCTTTAATGTTTACATGAGTTTGTGAGTGAGTTGGGTTAACGCCGCTTTTAACATTATTCCAGTTATATCACAGCGTGTCAGGTTAACGTGAGAGTGAGTGAGTGAGTGAATATGCTTTTACGCCGCTTTATGCAATATTCAAGCAATATTACGGCGGAGGACACCAGAAATGGGCTTCACACATTGTACCCATGTCGGGAATCGAACCCGGGTCTTCGGCGTGACGAACGAACGCTTTAACCACCAGGCTACCCGACCGCCACTTGTTAATGTGAGAGGAAAGCCCGAAGTGATTCAGGACTCAAACGTTTACAACTTTCTTGAAATCCACGAGCACGGGTATGGTGCTGACAAACCTAGAACTATAATCGGGGCGAACCGGGATTCGAACCCACAATCATAAGTTTCTGGCGTGCCCAAGGGACGCAACTCTGCACAACGAATCGCGGCGCCACAGAAGACTGGGCCACCCGTGCCTCCACGTGAGTTTGTTCGTTAATCTAAGTAGGCTGCGACACCCAACTCTTAACCTCATTTTGAGCCCGATTAGTACGGCATGTCCAAATAGCCGTCCGATCAAATTACCCAATCAAATCACACGAGTGAGAAATTCTGTGCTTGGAGCGGGAAAAGAGGGATGGAGGAGGTGACATCATGCTTAGAACTACAGTTATAGTAATGCTGAATTCGAAGCTATGTTACGAAAAGATACCTTCAGTGTTGAGACCGAATTACATGTAAATAATAATAATAATAAGTCCATTTCTTCAGCGCCATTTCCGTCTACGTAGTCGCTCATAGCGCCTCACACAGGGTCAAAGACACATCTAAAGAGATAAGTCTTAAAGTTTAGTTTTGTCTAGAAAGTGTCCAGAGTTGGAGATTGCCTAATATCCACTGGAATGGGAATTCCAGAGCACAGATGCAGTGAGAGGATAAGTTATGTTGCCGGATGCTTTGAGTGAGACCATAGGGACACTAAACTGGAGTTTATGTGCTGATCTGAGATCTCGTGCTGGCTTGTGTAGGGTAAGAAGTTCACTCAGATAGGAAGGTGCTGTACTATAGTAGCACTGGTATGCAATGCACACGACTTTGTATTCAATCCTAGATCTTATTGGAAGCCAGTGTAATAATTTTATTAAAGGAGTGACATGTGCACGCTTATTTCGTCTACATATCAATCTGTCAGCAGCATTCTGGACACGTTGCAATTTGCTACATAGATCCTGTTTGGTATTAATAAGCAGACTGTTAGCATAGTCCAACCTGGATAGGATAAGTGATCTCACTGGAGTAAACTACTGGAGTTGCAATGCTGAGGTGCTCAGTCGGATAAAGTAAGTCTACTATCAGCCTGATCATGTTGATTATTGGTTTTATGTTTTGAAATCTTTGCTTGAATATAAAGAATGCAAAGTAAAGGTCACTATTGCCCTCGCCACATGAACTAGAATCACAAAATATCGCAATTATTAATTAGAGAAGATAGCTGCGTGTGTGCTATTACTTATAAAGAGACTTATAGGGACGCTCGCAGTCACTTGTCCTTGAGTGTAACCACGTGATCAAATCTCACCGATGATGTTTATCGCAAGCGAATAGATACTTCTTGAAAAGCGCACTTTGCAATTTTTGTCACTTCTGTAAATCATATCCCTTACCGTCGGAATGGCTTGTCTTCACTTCGTAAGGATTAGCACACATGCAGCTATCTCCGTTAATTAATCATCGCGATGTTCCGTGATCCCAGTTCAAGGGGCGAGGGCTGTGGTTATATATTTATTGTCATGTCACAGTCACCGTAAGAGTTACCTGACCTACTTGTACAAGTATTGAAAGCTAGTTGTAGTAATGATTTTACAGTGATTAAGGGTGTGTGTGTGCCTGCGTGCGTGCGTTCGTGCGTGCATCCGGAGTTATACATATTGGATACTTTCTCCTCTAGGGGATGGCGGCCTGGGTTTCGGCATAGACCCCCAAAAGTTGCCCCCGGAAGAACAGAAGAAATACAACAACGCTCTTGATGTCCATGCCATGAATGAATACGTCAGTAACCTGATCGGCGTCAGACGGAGACTAAGAGACGTGAGAATGGAGGGGTGAGTTTTTGTATTGATAGCAACATTCACTCAAACATTGATTATATCACATCTATATCTCCATTCTGTCATGATATGTTCCCTTGAACCGTTCGCCACCATGGCTTCGTTTCGGAAGTGACGTCACCATCTCTACGGTGTCTAGCTTAACACAGAATGAGAGCAATTTGATTGGACGGCTATTTCAGTCCTGTTCATTCGAACTTGAGTTATACCTTGGTCAAAACAGGTTCACTGGGTCCTGGGCGGTCATGTGGCTTTGTGGTTAAAGCGTTTGCTCGTCACGCCCCAGTCCCGGGATCGATTCCCCACATGGGTACTAGGTGTGAAACACATTTCCTATGTCCACCGGAATTGCTGGAATATTGCTAAAAGCCGCGTAAAACTATATTCGCTCACTCAATAGGGGTCCAAATGGACACAGAAAAAGGAAAAGAACGAGTACCGAGCAGTCATCAAGTTTTTGGCTTCAAAGAAATGTTCTCCCCAAGAAATTCATGACCGCATGTCACAAGTGTATGGGACATGTGCCCCAGCTATTCCACTGTTAAACGTTGGGCAGCTATGTTTAAGGCTGTGTGAACAAGCCTTCCATCAATGAAGTTTCAATCAAGGAGATAGAAAAAACTTGTAGATTTAATTAAATTATTGTTGACTCACTGCTTCTCTTTTGAAAGGCTGGCTTGACTGTGAGAAGATTCTGATTTTTCAAATATTTTTGGGTGATCGTTAATCTGATATACGGAATAGCTTTATCGTTCAGATATATTGGCAATCGATTATCTATTTCAATGTGTGTATATTAAACAGCTGTGCTGAGCGTTACTCCTCCGCCGGTCTCCCCCAGACCAGCATCATCATCTGTTTCGTCAATGAGGCGTGGTCAACGTTGCTAAGGCTGGTTCACAGTATCCATGACAACACGCCGCCGCACCTGGTGAAGGAGGTGATCCTCGTCGACGATGGCTCGTCATGGGGTAGGTGTGCTATTGGAGGCGTGTATTGTTTACATATTATGCAGATAATGTCTCGAGTGCGAGTGCGTTGGATTTAATGCGACTTAAGCAATATTTAAGTTATATGGCCTCAGACCTCAGTTTCTTTCCTTCGTTGCTGGGGCGGTCGGGTAGCCTAGTGGTTAAAGCGTTCGCTCGTCACGCCGAAGACCCGGGTTCGATTCCCGACATGGGTACAATGTATGAAGCCCATTTCTGGTGTCCCCCGCCGTGATATTGCTGGAATATTGCTTAAAAAAAGCGGCGTAAAACCTCACTCACTCCTTCGTTGCTATCTACAGTGACATGACAGCCCACCATAATTAATATCGGTCGTAGACAGTTCTCCTGTTGCATGCTGACCAACCTGCCACTTGCCACTCATACCGAAAAGTATCGGCCTGGATCCAACATCAAGATTTCGCAGTAACTACTGTCAAGAATGGTCAGAGGAAGTTTGGAGCCGAAACACACACAACGGCCTTGAACTTGGAGTCAGATCATCGGGTCTTGGAGTCAATACCATGTGTAGATTGTAGATAAAAAAAATTGCAACAAAATACAATGTCTAATTTTTCATTTCAACTATCATAAGGCCCTCTAAAAATTGGCACAGACTGAACAGCCCATTTAAACAGGGCACTATATTCTCCTATTTTCCTTTTCCGGTTCATGGGTAACTGTGGTCTGAGGCCATGTGTGCCAGAATAATGTCAGGAATGTTACAGTGGCTGTGGACGTTATCGATTTTGGTGAAACCCACGAGCACTGGTCTGTTACACAGATCAAGGCTCATGGTTGGGCGAAACTAGGATCCTGTCACAACTAAGGGACGCAACTCTTAACAAGGAATAGAGCGACTTGGTTTCTGTTTTATTTCAAAATCATATTGATCCCTACCTATATATTTAAGTTTTCGTTGTTCCTAATTAGCTGCAACGAGATTAACAACAATGTCTTTTATTTCCAGACTTTCTCGGCAGGCCGCTGGACGTGTACATGGCGCGCTTCCCTAAAGTGCGGATTGTTCGAGCCAAGTCTGGACTGGGCCTGATGGTAGCCCGGATGTATGGGTACAAATACACGACAGCGCCCACCATCACGTTCTTGGACTCGCACTGCGAATGTCTTCCAGGTATTGACTCAAGCTAGGGAGAGCTGGATGGGTGGATGGATCCATGGATGGGTGGAGAATGGATGACTGATGCATAAATCGGTGCATGAGGGATGAATGAATGGTGGAGGAATGAGTGGACGGGTGAGGGAAGGATAGATGAATGAATGTTTTATTCAGAATGTAGATTCTTGTATTAACAAAATGTGCATATGTATGTAAGTCAGAACTGTTTGTGCATTAAATATAAACACAACGTGCATTGAATGCTAAATGAACAAACTTAAATTATCAATGTAAATGCCAAAAATATAAACATCTTTAACACCAAAATAACAACATTAGTTACGTTCATTTTTGTATTGGAATCTGGTTTGTTTTTTTCCTGCATAGTTACGAATTTCATTGTATACACACCCTTCAAATACCTTCTCTGTTAGGGGACATTCATTAATTTCAAAGAGGGGGTGAATTGAATAGTTGAAGGGTTGCAAAGCATCTTTACAGGAGAGGCAAAAAGCGCTACTTTTTAAATTGTACAAGGAAATGAAAAAGTATTTCTGCTAACTTTTAGCAAAAAGGAACACAATTATAACCATGGCAGAGAATAGCAGAGTTACTTGTTCATATCGTGGAAAATGGAAAATATCGTATTTTGATGCAAAAAGATAAAGGCAAGATAGCCTAAGTCAAGGAATTTTTCAAATGCAAAAGAACCTTAGTCATTAAAATCCTGTAGGAAAACAACCTAAGTCAAAATTATTTCTTTTTAAAATTATATTTTAACTTTCGTCATATTTATACGAGAAAAATAATATTTGATAAACCACAATAGTTTCCATATACAATTTCTACATGATATTCTAGTATTCAATGAAGCATCACCAAACATCAATACGCTATCAATCGTAAGCGGAAAGATAAATGAGGCGCTGTTTCGGGTTAAAAATCATTTAAATCCGGGAAAAGTTACATTTTAGGTAATAGAGCTTAAAGAGTACTTTCTATTTTTGTAATTATACAAAAACAGCATAAGTAGGACATAGGCTGTTATGCTTTCCAACCCTTCAGTTTCAAAATATCCAAATGTATTGATCTACAAAAAGTAATGCCTTTTCGCGAACACCTGGTGTCCTCACTGATTTTCAGTGATCCATTCATACAAATTTCACTTCTGTTTTGCCCTTTGCGTCCAAAAGATGACAATTGTTCCACAGATAATTGACACAGATTGTTCTCTGGCGTTGACATTTTATATTGGGATATCACGAAACGGTAGAATTCGCACAAATTCATGCAAGTAGTTGAACTTATTTAACGTCCGTGAGTTATACACGCCCACGGTTCATTACAAGCCTTATACAGGGGCACGGGTGGCCCAGTCGTCTAAGGCGCCGCGATTCGCTGTGAAGAGTTGTGTCCCTTGGGCACGCCAGAAACCTATGATTGTGGGTTCGAATTCCGGTTCTCCCCAATTATGTTTCTAGGTTTGTCGGCACCATACCCGTGCTCGTGGGTTTCACCGAAGTGGTAAACGTCTGAGACCTGCATCACTTCGGGCTTTCCTCCCACATTAAGCTGACACGCCGTGATGTAACTGGAATACTGTTAAAAGCGGCGTTAAACCCAGACACTCACTCACACAAGCCTTATACATACATGCGTCACTGTTACTCTGCATCACGGCAGTATGTATTCACCTGGTGGACCTTTGAAGTCATGGCGATGATATATGTGTTGGAATATTAGTTACGTGTTGAAACCATAGACGCATATTCTGACCGTAGGTTGGCTAGAGCCTCTGTTGATGCCCCTGGTAGCCGACCCACGGGTGGTGACCACGCCCTCAATAGACGCTATAGACCAGAACAACTACGGGATCACTGCTGGGCCGGAGGTGATGGTTGGGGTGGTGGAGTTCCCGTCCCTGACGTTCAACTGGAGGAACCCTCCCCCCAGAGAGAGAAGACGGCGTACAAGCAATATTGAACCGATCAGGTGATGTGCAATCAATGAACTGACTCACTTGGGTCACTTAAATCGTGCACTGATCGACTTGGATCAGTTCCTGCTGACTCGGTTCATTGACTGACTCTGTTCAATTGCTGAGTAGGTTCACATACTCGTTCACTCGCTAATTCGATTCATTCACTGACGCGGATCACTCACTAGCTCGGTTCATTCACTGACGCGGTTCACTCACTAGCTCGGTTCATTCACTGACGCGGTTCACTCACTAGCTCGGTTCATTCACTGACTCGGTTCACTCACTAGCTCCGTTCATTCACTGACTCGGTTCACTCACTGCCTCGGTTCACTCACTAGCTCAGTTCATTCAATGACTCGGTTCACTCACTAGCTCGGTTCATTCAATGACTCGGTTCACTCACTAGCTCCGTTCATTCACTGACTCGGTTCACTCACTGCCTCGGTTCACTCACTAGCTCAGTTCATTCAATGACTCGGTTCACTCACTAGCTCGGTTCATTCAATGACTCGGTTCACTCACTAGCTCCGTTCATTCAATGACTTGGTTCATTCTCTGACTCGGTTAATTCACTGACGCGGTTCACTCACTAGCTCGGTTCATTCACTGACGCAGTTCACTCACTAGCCCGGTTCATTCACTGACTCGGTTCAATCCCTGGTTCGGGTCATTCACTGACGCGGTTCACTCACTAGCTCCGTTCATTCACTGACTCGATTCATTCACTGACGCGGTTCATACACTAGCTCGGTTCATTCACTGACTCTGTTCACACACTAGCTCGGTTCATTCACTGACTCGGTTCACTCACTAGCTCGGTTCATTCACTGACTCGGTTCATTCACTGACTCGGTTCATTCACTGAATCAGTTCATTCGCTGACTCGGTTCACTCACTAGCTCGGTTCATTCACTGACTCGATTCATTCACGGACTTCGTTCATTCACTGACTCGGTTCACTCACTGACTCGGTTCACTCACTAGCTCGGTTCACTCACTGACTTGGTTCATTCACTGATGCGGTTCATTCACTAGCTCGGTTCATTCACTGACTCGGTTCACTCACTAGCTCCGTTCATTCACTGACTCGGTTCATTCACTGACATGGTTCATTCAATTACTCGGTTTACTCACTGACTCGGTTCCCTCACTAGCTCGGTTCATTCACTGACTCAGTTCATTCACTGACTCGGTTCATTCACTGACTCGGTTCATTCACTGACGCGGTTCATTCACTGACTCGGTTCATTCAATGACTCGGTTCATTCACAGACGCGGTTCATTCACTGACGTGGTTCACTCACTGACTCGGTTCACTTACTAGCTCGGTTCATTCACTGACTCGGTTCATTCACTGACGCGGTTCACTCACTAGCTCGGTTCATTCACTGACTCGGTTCACTCACTAGCTCCGTTCATTCACTGACTCGGTTCACTCACTGCCTCGGTTCACTCACTAGCTCAGTTCATTCAATGACTCGGTTCACTCACTAGCTCGGTTCATTCAATGACTCGGTTCACTCACTAGCTCCGTTCATTCACTGACTCGGTTCACTCACTGCCTCGGTTCACTCACTAGCTCAGTTCATTCAATGACTCGGTTCACTCACTAGCTCGGTTCATTCAATGACTCGGTTCACTCACTAGCTCCGTTCATTCAATGACTTGGTTCATTCTCTGACTCGGTTAATTCACTGACGCGGTTCACTCACTAGCTCGGTTCATTCACTGACGCAGTTCACTCACTAGCCCGGTTCATTCACTGACTCGGTTCAATCCCTGGTTCGGGTCATTCACTGACGCGGTTCACTCACTAGCTCCGTTCATTCACTGACTCGATTCATTCACTGACGCGGTTCATACACTAGCTCGGTTCATTCACTGACTCTGTTCACACACTAGCTCGGTTCATTCACTGACTCGGTTCACTCACTAGCTCGGTTCATTCACTGACTCGGTTCATTCACTGACTCGGTTCATTCACTGAATCAGTTCATTCGCTGACTCGGTTCACTCACTAGCTCGGTTCATTCACTGACTCGATTCATTCACGGACTTCGTTCATTCACTGACTCGGTTCACTCACTGACTCGGTTCACTCACTAGCTCGGTTCACTCACTGACTTGGTTCATTCACTGATGCGGTTCATTCACTAGCTCGGTTCATTCACTGACTCGGTTCACTCACTAGCTCCGTTCATTCACTGACTCGGTTCATTCACTGACATGGTTCATTCAATTACTCGGTTTACTCACTGACTCGGTTCCCTCACTAGCTCGGTTCATTCACTGACTCAGTTCATTCACTGACTCGGTTCATTCACTGACTCGGTTCATTCACTGACGCGGTTCATTCACTGACTCGGTTCATTCAATGACTCGGTTCATTCACAGACGCGGTTCATTCACTGACGTGGTTCACTCACTGACTCGGTTCACTTACTAGCTCGGTTCATTCACTGACTCGGTTCATTCACTGACGCGGTTCACTCACTAGCTCGGTTCATTCACTGACGCAGTTCACTCCCTAGTTCTGGTCATTCACTGACTCGGTTCATTCACTGACTCAGTTCACTCCCTCGTTCGGTTCATTCACTGACGCAATTCACTCCCTAGTTCGGGTCATTCACTGACGCAGTTCACTCCCTAGTTCGGGTCATTCACTGATGCAGTTCACTCACTAGCTCGGTTCATTCACTGACGCGGTTCACTCACTAGCTCGGTTCATTCACTGACGCAGTTCACTCCCTAGTTCGGGTCATTCACTGACTCGGTTCACTCACTAGCTCGGTTCATTCACTGACTCGGTTCATTCACTGACTCGGTTCATTCACTGATTCGATTCACTCCCTAGCTCGGTTCATTCACTGACTCGGTTTATTTACTGACACGGTTCACTCACTTGCTCGGTTCATTCACTGACGCAGTTCACTCCCTAGTTCGGGTCATTCACTGACTCGGTTCATTTACTGACTCGGTTCACTCCCTGGTTCGGTTCATTTACTGACTCGGTTCATTCACTTGCTGAATAGGTTCGATGACAACTGGACACATACTGGATTTGGCTGTTTAACACATTGCCAGTTGTCAAGCGTGGATGAGAGAGTTTGCTTCATATGACGCGGGTAACTTGAAAACAATAGTTTGATTGTCAATAAAAGAGCAAGATTTTAATTGACGAGACGATGCCGAGAAACATGTCCACGGACTAATTGACTTGACATTCAACTTCTTACCCATCACAGAAACCCAGCAATGGCGGGGGGCCTCTTCTCCATCACCCGGGAGTACTTCGATCTTCTGGGAGGATTTGACCCTGGGATGAAGGTCTGGGGTGGGGAGAATATCGAGATGTCTTTTAAGGTGAGTTCATGTTTCATGTGTAAAGACCTCAAGTGAAGTCGTGGCAGCGTCTCTATGGTGTCAGTCGTGGAGTGATTGTGCAGGTCTGGCAGTGTATACAACAAGTGATCCAGCCCAAAGTATACACACATAATGTCTACTAGACAAATAAAGTCTCTAATGCTTTCCTCATTTGTAGTTGTATGCAGTTCCGGTTTTTGATAAGCCACGAAGTCTCCTTCAGAACAAGTTGGCCAGTGCTGTGGTGTAGTAATTGGTTCTAGTAGAATTAGGTCCGGGGTGGATATCTCACATTAAGTCCTCAAAACATCAACTGGGTGGTAAACTACAAATCTGTGCCAGTGTCCACTCTTCGTGAGAGTTAATCCAAGTTTCGCCCGAAATATGATCTTCGGTCAGTCTCATATCCGTTGTCGGGGGTTTCACTAAAGAGGTCTACGACCTGATCGACCAACTTCAGACCCTCCGCCAACATTAAGCTCACAAACCATGATATACAATGCTGGTAATCGAATCAATAATACTGTTTAATCGATACAAGCGCCTTCAGAATAGCATCAAATCCTCTGGATGCTGCAGCTCAGAAAATTTAGATCCTTGAACACGTGAAACGTTATATTTTTTTTCCAATTTGTGCGATTTTAACATCTTCGAATTGATAATGAAAGTCGCCATCCGATTTTACTCCACTTATGCCAAGGCCAAACTGAAAAACAAGAAATATAACCAAATGCATTTCTTCAGATCTGGATGTGCGGAGGTCGGATTGAAACGCCAGTCTGTTCACGAGTTGGTCACGTGTTTCACAAACACGCTAGTTATTCGAAGATCCGCCAGGGTGCGCAAGAGGCCGGAGAAGCGAATAACGCGCGTGTGGCGGAAGTGTGGATGGACGACTACAAGAAGTACTATTATGATGAAAAGAAGAATGGACAATTCTACGTATGTACCAAATATTCCAGAAATGTGTAACTGCATTCCTATGATTGGGTTACAAGGGGTAATACAATATAGTCCTATACAGACTCCCTGATACACATACTTGGAAATCTGCACAATTGAAACTGGTCAAGGAAAGTCTAGTCCTTGTGAGCACGAGACTCTTTTATATACGAGGAGCGTTTAATACGTTTTGCAGCTTCAATATAAGACCAAGTCGTAGTATATCTTTTGCACTGTTATTTTTCGCATAAAAAGACCACCGTACACTTCATCTTTACAGAAACCAGGGGATGTCTCTGAACGCCGCCGGTTGAGAGAAAGAATCGGATGTAAGCCCTTCTCCTGGTACATCGAGAACGTGTACCCTGAAGTGGCTATCCCAAGTGACGGTGTTTATTCAGGGGAGGTAAGTAGGTATTCAGGGGAGGTAAGTAGGTATTCAGGGGAGAAAGTACGTATGCTACTCAATTGAAGTTCCACTCTCCTGCCCAGAATTCCATGCGACCGGCAGCCAGCCAGCATAGTACCTCTGCCACAGGCCAGCGCCATTGACGATTCGTCAAATCTTTCACAGATTATGTCTTTGGGAATGCCAATACAGTTATTTTTTAAAAGGTTTACGACTGACCATATTTTCCATATGAATTTAACTTTTTGTTTGTTTGATCAGATTGGTTCGAGATTGCAGAAGAACGGAAAATCATCCAAATTCCCCCTTACATTCTTACTATACCAATGACATGATAGTTAAAATGAAATAGAAATTCAAATTGACAAACAAAGAAAATATCTTAGTTAGGGTAAGAGTTTTCGCCGTCACCGCAGTCATCACTTGTTTGTAAGCATAACGGTCCGTCGGTTGCGAGTTCAACTCCAAGCGTGGTTGTGGCCACCTTTCACAGTGGGAGATTTGACAGGTGGCAGCGATAGTATAGAGAGCTCCGCGAACGGGCAATCGCTGTTAGGAGTTTGCGTCATCCCCAAGCTCCTTCCCAGCGCGTGACACCTTCGTTACACTCTCGGTAACATCGCTGCCACCAGTGTGGGCGCTGCCATGACAAGAATCTTGAAATTTGCCCTCCAACCCCAAATGTAGTTACGTTTATACTTTTGTTTATGTCTTTGGGAATGCCATCATATTTCATTTCGATAAGGTTTACGACTGACCATGTTTTCCAGATGAATTTACTTTGTTTTTTTAATAATCAGATTGGTTCGAGATTGCAGACTAACGGAAAATCAACCAACTTCTCCCTTCCATTCGTACTATATCAATGACATGATAGATTTAATGAAATAGAAATTCAAATTGACAAACGAAGAAAGTAATTTAGCAGGGGTAAGTGTGTTCGGCGTCGCGACAGTCGTCACTTGTTTATAAACATAACGGTCCGTCGGTGGCGAGTTCAACTCCAAGCATGGTTGTGGCCACCTATTCACAGTGGGGAGTTTTGACTGGAGGCAGCGATAGTATAGAGAGCTCCGCGAACGGGCTATCGCTGTGGGGAGCTTGCGTCATCCCGAGGCAAGGGAGTTAACTGACATGGAAACTGGACCGTCAGTTAACTCCCTTGCCTCGGAAAGATGATAGATGTTGAGGACCACCCAATTCTTTAATTAATCTGTAATGCCATGACCGAGGAACTATAGTAATATAAGTGAATTGGTTGGTCCTTTACTTCTTTTAAGTGGTACGTGGGGTGTACGGTTGTCCGACAATAACTGACGTTAAACAACAAACAAAAGGGTTGCTACATTTTCATTGTACCAGGGCGGCGTGTATTGTTTCTCATAATATCAATCACTGGTTTGAAGCCGAGCACCTTCATATAGCTGATTGCAACAAACAACAAATAAACAAATTCAGTTGACACCCACAGCTGGAATAACTGGAAGCGCGCGTAAAATCTGACTCTCTCAAACGGGAAGAAACTATTTGTTTTATCATAAATAAATATGTATAATCATATTCTAGCAGTTTGCAGCTCACACTCGACCACCAGGAAGCCTGTTCCTGGATAGATAAACTTGACTTACCGTCTAAATGTTGTGAAAAACGCTGTCCACTCAATTGTGTTTTTGTTTCCTTGATCTCAGCTTCGAAATATGGCCACGCCCAACATGTGCCTGGACATGATGACCTCTGAGGAAGGGAAGCAACCCGCTATGTATTTGTGCCACGGTCAAGGTCATGCTCAGGTAGACAGACTTGGGCGGATGAATCTGTGCGTGCGTGCATGTATAAATTTTAAGGTGCTCGACGGAATGTATCCCCCGTGGTGACATTGCTGGAATATAAAAGCAGCTTAAAACAATACTGACTCTTTTCTTCACCACCCTGATTCGGAATATTCTATTTCTGCTAAAGAAATGCGCTACAGAACACAAATATACTCTCGATAGTTATCCTTTTGTGTGTGTGTGTGTGTGTGTGTGTGTGTTTGGTTTTACGCCGCTTTTAACAGTATTCCGGTTTTATCACGGCGTGTCAGCTTAATGTTGGAGGAAAGCCCGAAGTGATGCAGGTCTCAGACGTTTAACACTTCGGTGAAACCCACGAGCACGGGTATGGTGCTGACAAACCTAGAAATATAATCGGGGCGAACCGGGATGCGAACCCACAATCATAGGTTTCTGGCGTGCCCAAGGGACGCAACTCTGCACAGCGAATCGCGGCGCCTTAGACGACTGGGCCACCCGTGCCCCCCTTTTGGGTGTAGATGCCATGTATAGAATATGGGCAGCAGTGTAATGGCGCTGCATTATTCTTTTTTACACACGGACGCCCTCGATTACTATTCGTTTTTCGAGATACAGAAATCAGATATGCTTGTCTGAAAGCTTATGGCCCTGTCACACTACAACGTATAGCAGTAACGTATGGCGACGTATGAAAATTTTTGCCAAAACGCCGGCAACGCTGAAACACGCTATGGATAAATTAGGTGTAAGTTGTATACGTTAAAAGCACGCTGGTATACGTTGTAGTACGCCGAGCTTTAAAAACATTTTTGTGCATGCACAAAATTTTCGGCGTATGAGAACGTATGAAGGTATGAATTATACAGTAGGCGTACGTTAGAGGTACGCTCTACATACGTTAACCTACGCCAGATATACCTTACCCGTACGGCCCGTTTTAGGCACCTTTCCCCAACGCTGAGCGCGCTTGTCATGTATATCCGTTCGACGCGCACTTATGTAATAGATATCATGTATATCCGTATGACACGCACTTATGAAATAGATATCATGTATATCCGTTCGACGCACACTCATGAGATAGATATCATGTATATCCGTATGACAGGCAATAATGTAATAGATATCATGTATATCCGTTCGACGCTCACTCATGAGATAGATATCATGTATATCCGTATGACACGCACTTAGGTAATAGATATTATGTATATCCGTTCGACGTGCACTCATGATATAGATATCATGGATATCCGTACGACACGCACTCATGTAATAGATATCATGTACATCCGTATGACCCGTACTTATGTAAAAGATATCATGTATATCCGTATGACACGCACTCATGAGATAGATATCATGTATATCCGTATGACACGCACTTATGAGATATATATCATGTATATCCTTATGACACGCACTTATGTAATAGATATCATGTATATCCGTTCGACGCGCACTCATGAGATAGATATCATGTATATCCGTATGACACGCACTTATGTAATAGATATCATGTATATCCGTATGACCCGTATTTATGTAATAGATATCTTGTATATCCGTTCGACGCACACTCATGAGATAGATATCATGTATATCCTTATGACACGCACTTATGTAATAGATATCATGTATATCCGTATGACACGCACTTATGTAATAGATATCATGTATATCCGTATGACCCGTATTTATGTAATAGATATCTTGTATATCCGTTCGACGCGCACTTATGTAATAGATATCATGTATATCCTTATGACGCGCACTTATGTAATAGATATCATGTATATCCGTATGACACGCACTTATGTAATAGATATCTTGTATATCCGTATGACCCGTATTTATGTAATAGATATCTTGTATATCCGTTCGACGCGCACTTATGTAATAGATATCATGTATATCCGTATGACCCGTATTTATGTAATAGATATCTTGTATATCCGTTCGACGCGCACTTATGTAATAGATATCATGTATATCCGTATGAAACGCACTTATGTAATAGATATCATGTATATCCGTATGACCCGTATTTATGTAATAGATATCTTGTATATCCGTTCGACGCACACTCATGAGATAGATATCATGTATATCCTTATGACACGCACTTATGTAATAGATATCATGTATATCCGTATGACACGCACTTATGTAATAGATATCATGTATATCCGTATGACCCGTATTTATGTAATAGATATCTTGTATATCCGTTCGACGCACACTCATGAGATAGATATCATGTATATCCGTATGACACGCACTTAGGTAATAGATATTATGTATATCCGTTCGACGTGCACTCATGATATAGATATCATGGATATCCGTACGACACGCACTCATGTAATAGATATCATGTACATCCGTATGACCCGTACTTATGTAAAAGATATCATGTATATCCGTATGACACGCACTCATGAGATAGATATCATGTATATCCGTATGACACGCACTTATGAGATATATATCATGTATATCCTTATGACACGCACTTATGTAATAGATATCATGTATATCCGTTCGACGCGCACTCATGAGATAGATATCATGTATATCCGTATGACACGCACTTATGTAATAGATATCATGTATATCCGTATGACCCGTATTTATGTAATAGATATCTTGTATATCCGTTCGACGCGCACTTATGTAATAGATATCATGTATATCCTTATGACGCGCACTTATGTAATAGATATCATGTATATCCGTATGACACGCACTTATGTAATAGATATCTTGTATATCCGTATGACCCGTATTTATGTAATAGATATCTTGTATATCCGTTCGACGCGCACTTATGTAATAGATATCATGTATATCCGTATGACCCGTATTTATGTAATAGATATCATGTATATCCGTTCGACGCGCACTTATGTAATAGATATCATGTATATCCGTATGACACGCACTTATGTAATAGATATCATGTATATCCGTATGACCCGTATTTATGTAATAGATATCTTGTATATCCGTTCGACGCGCACTTATGTAATAGATATCATGTATATCCTTATGACGCGCACTTATGTAATAGATATCATGTATATCCGTATGACACGCACTTATGTAATAGATATCTTGTATATCCGTATGACCCGTATTTATGTAATAGATATCTTGTATATCCGTTCGACGCGCACTTATGTAATAGATATCATGTATATCCGTATGACCCGTATTTATGTAATAGATATCTTGTATATCCGTTCGACGCGCACTTATGTAATAGATATCATGTATATCCGTATGAAACGCACTTATGTAATAGATATCATGTATATCCGTATGACCCGTATTTATGTAATAGATATCTTGTATATCCGTTCGACGCACACTCATGAGATAGATATCATGTATATCCTTATGACACGCACTTATGTAATAGATATCATGTATATCCGTATGACACGCACTTATGTAATAGATATCATGTATATCCGTATGACCCGTATTTATGTAATAGATATCTTGTATATCCGTTCGACGCACACTCATGAGATAGATATCATGTATATCCTTATGACACGCACTTAGGTAATAGATATTATGTATATCCGTTCGACGTGCACTCATGATATAGATATCATGGATATCCGTACGACACGCACTCATGTAATAGATATCATGTACATCCGTATGACCCGTACTCATGTAAAAGATATCATGTATATCCGTATGACACGCACTCATGAGATAGATATCATGTATATCCGTATGACACGCACTTATGAGATATATATCATGTATATCCTTATGACACGCACTTATGTAATAGATATCATGTATATCCGTTCGACGCGCACTCATGAGATAGATATCATGTATATCCGTATGACACGCACTTATGTAATAGATATCATGTATATCCGTATGACCCGTATTTATGTAATAGATATCTTGTATATCCGTTCGACGCACACTCATGAGATAGATATCATGTATATCCTTATGACACGCACTTATGTAATAGATATCATGTATATCCGTATGACACGCACTTATGTAATAGATATCATGTATATCCGTATGACCCGTATTTATGTAATAGATATCTTGTATATCCGTTCGACGCGCACTTATGTAATAGATATCATGTATATCCTTATGACGCGCACTTATGTAATAGATATCATGTATATCCGTATGACACGCACTTATGTAATAGATATCTTGTATATCCGTATGACCCGTATTTATGTAATAGATATCTTGTATATCCGTTCGACGCGCACTTATGTAATAGATATCATGTATATCCGTATGACCCGTATTTATGTAATAGATATCTTGTATATCCGTTCGACGCGCACTTATGTAATAGATATCATGTATATCCGTATGAAACGCACTTATGTAATAGATATCATGTATATCCGTATGACCCGTATTTATGTAATAGATATCTTGTATATCAGGTCGACGCACACTCATGAGATAGATATCATGTATATCCTTATGACACGCACTTATGTAATAGATATCATGTATATCCGTATGACACGCACTTATGTAATAGATATCATGTATATCCGTATGACCCGTATTTATGTAATAGATATCTTGTATATCCGTTCGACGCACACTCATGAGATAGATATCATGTATATCCTTATGACGCGCACTTATGTAATAGATATCATGTATATCCGTATGACACGCACTTATGTAATAGATATCTTGTATATCCGTTCGACGCGCACTTATGTAATAGATATCATGTATATCCGTATGACACGCACTTATGTAATAGATATCATGTATATCCGTTCGACGCGCACTTATGTAATAGATATCATGTATATCCGTATGACACGCACTTAGGTAATAGATGTCATGTATATCCGTATGACACGCACTTATGTAATAGATATCAGGTATATCCGTTCGACGCGCACTTATGTAATAGATATCAGGTATATCCGTATGACACGCACTTATGAGATAGATATCATGTATATCCGTATGACCCGTACTTATGTAATAGATATTATGTATATCCGTTCGACGCGCACTCATGATATAGATATCATGTATATCCGTATGACACGCACTTATGTAATTGATATCATGTATATCCGTATGACACGCACGTATGTAATAGATATCATGTATATCCGTATGACACGCACCTATGTAATAGATGTCATGTATATCCGTTCGACGCGCACTCATGAGATAGATATCATGTATATCCGTTCGACACGCACTCATGTAATAGATATCATGTATATCCGTATGACACGCACTTATGTAATAGATATCATGTATATCCGTATGACACACACTTACGTAAGATATTTCATGTATATTTGTGTGACACGCACTTATCTCTTGATATTTCATTTTTCATTTCATATATTGCAGATGTTTGACATGACTGATCTGGGTGAAATCGTGTCGTTAGGTTGCTGTCTGAGACACCGTGGCGGGAATGTGTACGTAGCCAAGTGCACCTGGTCGTCGGAGTCCCATATATGGGAGTACAAGGTAGAGTATGCCACCCGATTCTCGAAATGACATGACGAAAATAGTTTACCAACAAGTCCAGTCCTTGGAATGGTATCGGAGTTCGGATTGTGATAACATTGCCATAACATCTCGCTGTCGCCAAGCAAATAAAGTCTATATCGACCCGTAGAGAGTATGTGGTTAACAGGATAAAACAACGTTTCTGCGTCAGGTCGGTCATACTGATGTATAATATTTAGATGTACTCGTAAGATAATTTATTAAGGGAACATGGTGACTGTTTGACGGACCGTGTTTGTTTCTGTGTTCCAGGATAAGTTGATAAGGGACATGGTGACTGTTTGACTGACCGTGTTTGTTTCTGTGTTCCAGGACAAGTTGATAAAGGGACATGGTGACTGTTTGACTGACCGTGTTTGTTTCTGTGTTCCAGGATAAGTTGATAAAGGGACATGGTGACTGTTTGACTGACCGTGTTTGTTTCTGTGTTCCAGGATAAGTTGATAAAGGGACATGGTGACTGTTTGACGGACCGTGTTTGTTTCTGTGTTCCAGGATAAGTAGATAAGGGAACATGGTAACTGTTTGACTGACCGTGTTTGTTTCTGTGTTCCAGGATAAGTTGATAAGGGACATGGTGACTGTTTGACTGACCGTGTTTGTTTCTGTGTTCCAGGATAAGTTGATAAAGGGACATGGTGACTGTTTGACTAGTCGTGTTTGTTTCTCTGTTCCAGGACAAGTTGATAAGGCGATACAATCTTTTTTTGACTGACCATGATTGTTAATTAGGCGACATGGTGATTGTTTGACCGACCGTGTTTGTTTCTGTGTTCCAGGACAAGTTAATAAGCCGACACAATAATTGTTTGACCGTGAATGCGACGCAGCATGTCGTGATGGAGGAATGCTCTGGAAAGAAGTCCCAGCAGTGGACGTGGAACTATCACAGACCGCGGAGGAAGAATGTGCTGAGGATTGAAGAAATGTGAATAAGACATGATGTATACAGAATCAATCCGCCGCGCATTCGTGACCACTCGCCCCTTTCCGTAACCTGCTTGTCACGGAATGACACGAGTTTGTCACCATTGCCCTCTATGGTGCATACTTCAGTTGCCAGAGTTTATTACAAAGCACCCATCAACGTGAATCCTGTCTCACACTCGTATACCTGCCCTGCTTCTCATAGTATCAGTATATAACGAATAGTAGAATAGTGTCATCACACGTGTCTCTTTTTGTTGTTGTTTAACGCCACACTCAATGGCGGCGATCTGTAAATAATCAAGTCTTGACCTGACAATCCAGTCATTGACTTCATGAGCATCGATCCACGCAATTTGGATGCGATGACATGCATCAACCAAGTCAGCGTGTCTGACCACCCGATCCCGTTAGTCGCCTCTTAATCAATACGTGATAAAGCGCCCGGTTCCAACTTAAAATAAGAGGTATCTAATCTACAGTTTTTCTTAATTTCATAACACGGTAGGTTTATCACCTAATTCATTCACGGCATTACCCATTGTATTTTTAGAAATAAAAAGTTAACTTTGAAAAGTCAACCTGACGCAGACGCCTGACTGAAGTCAGTTCAAATGGCAAAATCAATCCGTTACGTCATTTACACTGGGTTACGTGATATCATGTTGTTTTCTGCAATCTGGTTTGAGAGTTGCTAAACTGCACGTGCGTAAATGTGAATATCAGAGATGTCTGACATTCGCCGGGACATGTATCTCTCTTCATGAAATAATGTTCATCTTACTGAATGGCCTCACAAAGTTGATATTTTGAGTGGCGCATAGATTGTTGCAGGAGGCAAGGAATCAACAATGTACTGGTTATGTTTGCACACGCACGCACGCACGCACGCACGCACGCACACACGCACGCACAAATATATCGTTTATCTCATCGAGTTAACTGATAAAGTGTGTCAAATTGTTGTCTTATTGTGCATTTTTTCTGCTGTACATGATAGCACATACAAAAAATTTGCAAGAATTCCAAGTAAACATTTATTGTGTGAATGTGTTTGAGTCTCTGTTTAGGTATACAATGTCAGGTAAAAGAGCACAAGAAATTCAGCTTGAGGTAAAATATTGCGGCGTTGGTCAAGAAAATATTGAATTTGTGAAATAATGTGATTGAAACGTCACCGAATTATGACTTAATATATTGTTGTCGACTCTCATCTATTTTAGCAACTTTGCTTGTTTGTTGTTTAACGCCGCACTCGGCAATATTCCAGCTATATGACGGCGGTCTGTAAATAATCGAGTTTGGACCAGACAATCCAGTGATTGACACCATGAGCATCGATCCATGCAATTTTGATCGATGACATGCATCAGCCAAGTGAGCGAGCCTGACCACCCGATCCCTTTAGCCGAATTTTACCACAAGCATAGTTGCCTTTTACGGCAAACATGGGTTGCTGAAGACCTAGTTTATGAATATCGCGATATTAACAATACGTGGTTCTGAACCTAACTATAGTGGAATTGGTTGCTATTAGTTTTCAACATAATCCCCTCCGAACTCCACACTCGTCAGCTAACGATGCTGCAGTGCCCTAATCCCACTAGTGTAGAAAGGTCCTCCTGGTGGTGTAAATAGCACCCTTCATCAGAAATGGCGCCATTGTCATAAACATAATGCTTGTCAGACGGTTCCTTCTTAAGGTTTGGAAAGAGGTGGAAATCTGACGGTGCCAAATCTGGTGAATACGAAGGATGTTCAATGAGTTCAAAGCCTAAGTCATGCATTGCAAACAGGTACATTGTCCCGGTGGAACAACACACCTTTAAGTGAGTTTTCCACGACGTTTAGCCTTGATATTCTCAAAGGGTTGCCTCAGCAGATTAGCATAATACTGGCCAATACCATTGGTCTGACCTTTCGGGATGTATAGTCCACCATTGCGAGTCCTTGAAATCGCAGCCACCATCTTGCCAGCTGATGAAACGGAGATGTTTCCCCCTGCATCTTGCCTAGTTTCTGACTGACAGTAGTAAACCCAAGACTCATCCATGGTTACAAATCACGTCAAAACCTCGCGAGTTCTCACGAGACACGATGAACCTGGAACCCAGCGCGCCGAGACGTTTGACCTGCCCGGAATTTTCTGGATAGCTGTTGTCAGCACCATACCGACACAATGGCAATGCTTCTGCCTCTTTTCTGCCTCCTTTGAGCTACCTGTAGTGCCTCCTCAGCCTGCCTATAAATAGAGGGCTTGTACCTGCATTGTTTCACTCGCGACCTCGCGACCTTTGTGCCACCTTTGAGCGATCAAAAACAGGCCAGGACGCTCAATGATCGCCTAAACCCAGAAAATCATGTATCCATGTAACTGCTCCAGCAGTTGTTCAGCAGTAACTGCTCGAGTTGTTCAGCGTCTGCAACCACAGTGAAACACTGCAGGTACAAACCCTCTATTTATAGGCAGACTGTGGAGGCACTACAGGTAGCTCACAGGAGGCAGAAGCATTGCCATGTTGTCTCAAGGGTTGCCGTGGTCGCTAATGGAAGCACAGCGGTCGCCACAGTCATCTTTCAATGCACGCTGTTGGTCGCCCAAAGGAGGCACAAGGGGGGCAAAAGCATCGCCCAGATTGACGGGGAAAAATTGCAACAGAACGCATCTTTAACCTGGCTAGGTAACATACCTCAGTTTAACATGAATACCACCTCACATAATATTTAGTTGTGATGGCAATGTATTTTAATATTTATGTTGTCATGACAGAATAGTGAGTGGGTGAGTGAGTGTCTATACACCGCTTTTAGCACTATCACAGCGGGGAACACCTGAAATGGGCTTCATACACTTTGTACTCATGTGGGGGATCGAACCCGGGTGTTCGGCGTGACGAGAGAACTCTTTAACCACTAGGCTACCCCGCCGCCCCATGACAGAATAAATCACATGTACAATGTTTCATATACAAATAACACTCAAGAATTGTTATCTTCAGGGAGAAGAGAGGATACAACTGAAACATGTAGGAGAGCTATTCGTGTCGTGTTATTATTTTGTGAATTTATATATACTTTTTTATTTCCCAAAGGTGACATGTTACATCAAATATACAATGGATGATACATATCCGGTTTTGAAAATTGAAAAAAAATCTGAGGTTACCTTGTGCTGTGCCAAGTGACGTTGATTGACTCGTAAATAACGTGCAGCGTTTTGCTTCGTAGAGGGGTAGAAGGGATTTATTCTGCCGCTCAGAAAGTTATTTCCCTCTCAGGTGGGACACGTAGAACTTTATCAAGATCACGTGATCAGATCTCAACATTCTCACTTAGAGGTAAGATAATCACTTTCACATACATATGTCAGTAAGCTAAAAGTTCTTTCAGACATGGGGCGGTCGGGTGGCCTAGTGGTTAAAGCGTTCGCTCGTCTGGCCGGAGATCCGGGTTCGATTCCCGACATTGGTACAATGTCTGAAGCCCATTTCTGGTGTCCCCCGCCGTTATATTGCTGTAATATTGCTAAAAGCGGCGTAAAACCAAACTCACTTACTCGTTCTTTCAGACGTTAATCAATATCTCACGCAGTTCATAGCAATACATAGTTATAATGGTTACATAGTGAAAATAGTATTTTAATATTCATGCCTCCGTGTTATAGGTATTTGTATATATAGCCTGGGGATATGAATGAACGCCATGCTTCAGCAAGGAATTCATACCGGATGTTCAGAGACACATCACCACTGTATCCACACATTATTCAATCACGGGGCACGGGTGACCCAGTCGTCTAAGGCGCCTCAATTCGCTGTGCAGAGTTGCGTCCCGTGGACACGCCAGAAACCTATGATTGTGGGTTCGAATGCCGGTTCGCCCCTATTATGTTTCTAGGTTTGTCAGCACCATACCCGTGCTCGTTGGTTTCACCGAAGTGATAAACGTCTGAGACCTGCATCACTTCGGGCTTTCCTCCCACATTAAGCAGACACGCCGCGATATAACTGGAATACTGTTAAAAGCGGCGTTAAAAACAAATCACTCACTCACATTATTCAATCGGCTGATTTGCACAGCTGATAGCTGTGCTTAGATATGGAAAAAGAATTTACAAAATGTCACCACTCAATGTGTACCCGCAGTTAAAAAATTTAGCGATAGTTTAAACAACCAGCATCACTATAATTCATAAGAATGTCCTCATGAAGTTTTACATATCGTCCCCAAAATAAAGATAGATAAACTGCCTGGAAAATAAAGTATACATTTGGGAATTGGATTGGACCCAAACATCACAAACGTTATCATAATGAAACTAGGCTATTATACCCGTATCAAGGGGCGGTCGGGTAGCCTAGTGGTTAAAGTGTTCGCTCGTCACGCCGAGGACCTGGGTTCGATTCCCGACATGGGTACAATGTGTGAAGCCCATTTCTGGTGTCCCCCGCCGTGATATTGCTGGAATATTGCTAAAAGCGGCGTAAACCCATACTCATTCACTCACTACCCTTATCAAATACATCACCATCGAATAACCATTTCTTGTTTGTTTCCTTTTTAACCATCATCAAACATGGGTGTATACTTTCTATAAGGTGAAACAAAAAAAGTTATTTAGTATTCCTGAATTCTTTAAGGGTTCAGTCACACATTCAGGATTTTTACTGCCGTCCTTGATGAGACCATTCCCGATTAAAATTTGTCAAAAGTCTGATCAAAATCATGTGATTCGTGGCGGGAAATTCACAAACCAATCAATTATTGTTGAGGAAGCGTCCCGCGATTCAGCCGTTTCCAGCCGAATTCGTCCCGTTCTCCCGTTCTCAATCCGAATCGGATCTGATTTGTATCTTCCGCATGGTGAAAAAAACGATCAGATCTGTCCCGACAGCGTCCCGATTCTCCCGAATGCGATCCGACAGAGATCAGACAGCGACCGGACAGTGAACAGACAAAGACGTTTCGCATTCGGCAAGATCTGGACGCAATTTGGACTCAATCGACAAGAAACGGCAAGAACAATTTATGCCCGTTCATCACGACAGTGTCCTGATCCACAGGACACCATCTAAATAAAACACAGAACATTGTTACGATTTTGATCCGATACAGAAGAATCTGTCACGACATTGTCACGATTGTAATCCGACTAGACAAATTCGGCTGAATTTCTCGAATATATCATGACGCACCCTACTGTCGGTAGTGCTTGGCCGACCTCTCTGGACCTTTCCCGATCCGTAGGACTCTGTTACGAACAAAAACGACTGCGTTCAGATCATTGAGGATAGTAATACGACTTTTCACTTTTCTTGTCGTAGCGCGGTCTCATCTCAAACGGGAGCCATAATCGGCACTGTGTGAACCTGGCCTAAGGGGCGCTAGAGCTAAGAAAAGTGATGAGCGTTGAATAGGGGTGATTCGGATCTATTATTTTCCCTTCGTGGCTCGTGAGTTATGTAGATTCAAAGTTGATCTGTCAGTGATACACTTCTACTCGACAACTTGCTGCAGGCACTTTAATCCGCCCATAATATATTATGCACTTTCCCTGCAATGTGCAGTTACATCTGCGCAACACCTTGTCCGGGAGCTATTCCCCACTATATACAGTAAGTACATGTATAAACGTGGAAATACATACATCATAACATGAAGCCTTTTCGATACTATGACATTCGGAACTGCTTCTAGCTATACACGTTTATCCAAAATAGATCTTGAATTTTATAACTCACGAAGTGACCTCTACAATTACCATAAATAAGAGTAAATAGGACAAATGACACATTTCTCTGGCGAAAGGAGTAGTTAAAACATTGCAAACCTACAGATAGTTCTTTTCTTTCGTTTCTAATTTTCTGAGTGGTCAAAAAATTGAATTCGCGAATATTGACTAGAAACATTTCGAAGTAAGTTCTGATTGAATTTCAAAAGAACCAAACTCAACTTGAATATTGCCTCGGATTTAAATATAAAGCGGTTTGTCAAAAGTTACCGTAATTGCACTCGATGGATACCTTCAGATCGTTTCTGTGGGAAATCAGGTGTTGTCTTTAAACATTTTTATTGACATTGAAATGTCAAATGGATGAGGCAAAAGCCGTCTCACAACGCCCTTTCCATAAACATTAATACAGACAGATGACAACAGTGTAAATAATGAACATTGAAATAAATAACGTGCAGCAAAGTGCGATACTTCCATGGAAATAGCAACATAAGTAATTACAATTACATAAACTATTGCTGTGATGGATGATGCATACCGGTCATCGGGTGAGAGGTTGTAGATGGTAGAGGGAGCACGGGTGGCCCAGTCGTCTAAGGCGCCGCGATTCGCTGTGCAGAGTTGCGTCCCCTGGGCACACCAGAAACCTATGATTGTGGGTTCGAATCCCGGTTCGCCCCGATTATGTTTCTAGGTTTGTCAGCACCATACCCGTGCTCGTGGATTTCACCGAAGTGATAAACGTCTGAGACCTGCATCACTTCGGGCTTTCCTCCCACATTAAGCTGACACGCCGTGATATAACTGGGGGAGGGGGGCGCAAATAAGATTATTCATTTCTTATTCAAGTTAACTTACACAAGGAAAAAATGTTTTCTATAACAAATCCAGACAAGACAATGACAATGTCAATAAATCATATATTCTACAACATAACACAGTAAAGCCTGTAAATAAATCATATATACCACTACATGAATCGTTCTTATCGTTATTAAAAATAGAAGTGCCGTTTTCGCCCGAGAAATGGTAGCCGTTTTCCCCAAATGAGGTGCCGTTTTCGCCCGAGAAATCGGTGACGTTTTGCTTAGGTGCCCATAAGTTTACATTAATTATTTTAATTAATCTTCGTTGTAGCGCTTTGAGCAGCCATTCTCGTGTAGGATTAAGCGCAATATAAATCAACAATATTATTGTTGTTGTTGATGATGATGATGTTGTTGTTCTTCTTCTTGTCGTTGTTGTTGTTGTTGTTCTTCTTCTTCTTCTTCTTGTTCTTCTTCTTCTTGTTGTCTGTTAAACTCGTCATGCAAAATGTGCCAGTGAAAAATGCGTTCGCATCACGGTTTCACCTAGTTCATAATTTATATTTATAGTAACTGGTATAAATCCAGAGATAACATATGAAAAGAGATGTTATATTGCAAATTATTTCTTATCCTCACCATTGAAGTCGATCATTTGTTACACAAACAACATGTCCGAACGAAGATACTCGCGATCGGATTCTCAATGGCTCGTTATGGATTTTACACACGCCTCTTTACATAAAGGGCCCGAGTTACTTCCCTTTACGCATCCTTCTAACCAATGGCGGCCTTTCTTTCTACACAGTAGCGTTTTGAAACAAACGCTATTATTGGTTCATTTTAGTATCAAGGTTCACAGACATGGCCGAAGACAAGAAAACACCTCTGCATCAACAAATTAACCTGTGGTCATGACAGAACGAATACTCTGTTATTACAACGCGTTGATGTAGCTGACACAAAGGTAATACGTCGATCGCATGTTTCAAAATGAAAATAATAGTCCCACATAGCTGACGTAGTCAGAGACTTGTTGACAGTATCGACAGGTTGTAAGAAGGAGGCTGTGCCTCTAGATCTCGCCAATTGTGATGTGAAGTTAATTTTGACAGCTCGTTCATGAAGAGCGTATCGATAAATCTTCCATGTGCCTACGTGTTATAATTCGTTTCGTGTTATTCCGTCTCTATAACTCTACACAGTTTTGGTTGTCGGGTTTTCCTATCTGTCCTGGGAGATCGACAGTAGTGACTAATGTCACGGCCATAATTAAATAAAATCTAAAGAGATCTTGTCAGGCTATTCTAGTTGACAACCATCAGTGAAATATTGACATAACTACAGGTTTGCATATCAAAACGAATGTAACTTTGTGAACAAGATACAGAGCCAGATGACACTGTGTTGCAATCTATACACTGTTTCAGAATGAGATGAAATTTTAGATTTTTACTGTTAAAATACTAGATCTATTTGTCCTTTGCCATTCTACTTTGACATGAAGAATGTTATTGTCTTTAACATCATACTATGTATTTCTGTGTTGTTGTGGAAGACTATTTTGATACAAATCACAAACTCACATTTCCATGTCATTGTAGCAGTGGCATTGAACAGTCTCTATTTGTTCATGTAAACATTTGATTTTAACAGCAACTTTGAGATAAACCCATTGGATAACACTACCCTGGCTGGTAATAATCCAGGGAGGCAACTCTATATTTAGGAGTCACGCTGCGTGTTCGGTTCCAACTTCAATTTAGTGCGATTAAATCTACAGGTGACCTAACTCTACATTGAAAACATAGTATGTTTATCTCCTTTCTACCGTGACTAAGTAAAACGCGAACTCTTTGGTGTTAGCAAATATTGTGAGTGAAGCGGCATGGGTTGAGTCCAGTGTTTTGAGTGGGTTATCGATCTGAGTTACGGAATCACCGAACTTATTATGGCGCTGTATATACTCAAGCAGTTTGTTTACATGTAATACTTAACTCGAACATATGACAGGCATTTAAAGCATATAAGCACGGCAACTTGGTAAGCTAACATGAGGTGGGCATCCCTAAAGAAAACAAAGCAAGCTTTGCAAGGCTTTCGCTCTACATCACACGTCACCATCATGACGTCATATCGCTCATTGTGACGCAAAAGATATGACGTCACAGTCGTATATAAAAAAGTGCCCAAATTCCAAGCTCTCTGTTGTCTCCAAAACGTAAATACATTCCCTTTGTAGATTTCTATCGTGTTTTCTGCACGAAATGTATTGCAACATCCTTTGAATATTGTAGAAACCGCATCTTTGCATTTTGTAACCTGTAATTGTAGATATAGTTATTGAAATATGCCTACCGACAATGACTGAAAATAGTACTATTCTAGGAATATTAGCTTCCGTGGTGATGTGGCCATCAAACCAGCTGTTTCAGAGGGGGTTTATTGTGATTTAATAGCCTCTGATTGTCCAATCAGAATGGAGTAAATTCCAAATTCATTGTACAATTTGGTATACTGTATATTGTGCACACTCACTGCCATTGACATGGTTATGATGATACAAACTGCCTCTGTTTTACCAGCATATGTACACACACTACCACATTATCTTATGCTGAAGGGGGCAAGGGTGGCCCAGTCGTCTGACGCGCCGCGATTTTCGCTGTGCAGAGTTGCGTCCCTTGAGCACGCCAGAAACCTATGATTGTGGGTTCGAATCCCGGTTGCCCCGATTACGTTTCTAGGTTTGTCAGCACCATACCCGTGCTCATGGGTTTCACCGAAGTGGTAAACATCTGAGACCTGCATCACTTCGGGCTTTCCTCTCACATTAAGCTGACACGCCGTGATATAACTGTAACTGGTAATAGTGTTAAAAGCGGCGTTAAACCAAACTCACTCACTCTTATGCTGAAGTTTGAAATAACGTTTAAACACAATAACTCAAATCAGAATAACACAACATATATTGCCAAAACAATCTGACCATGGACTGCTCAATCATATTCAACTGAAGGTGTGAGTATCAGAATAGAAGTTTCCAAAAATAACAAATTCTAGACACAAGAGCACAACTTTTGAAAGGTTCATAAGTTCAACATTTCAATTCAAGTTTCTGTTGGAAATATCACTCTAACCATATTTTCCAAATTTTGGGGTTACTTAAGTCTAATTGGTTGGCGAACATTATCAAATGCCTATTGACTATTCTTCTTTTGGATGCAACATTTCGCTGATGTGATGAGATATTGACCTTTTTCTGAAGTCCTATTAAATATATACACCACAGAGATGTTTGTCATAATATGTAAGATAAGGTGATAAGTTGCAAACATAAAATCAACAGATCCCATGCAGATTAATAGCTTTTGCAAATATAAGCATGATAAGAACACCTGGAAAAAACTGAATCCCAAGTACCATACCTAGACTGTAGTACTTAGGGATTTTTCTAGATGTGCTCAGAAGCAGATACTCAGCCTATAGTCTGCAGCAAATGTCGTTAAAAATTCCAAAGTTTTAACTAAAAAATTCCAGAGTCATATCACAATGTATTTATATATATATATATATGTAACTAACACGGCTGGAACGATACACCAACTGTGCAATCCGATACGTATCAGGATACATTGCTCACGATCCGATACGTATCACATAGCTTTTTCATAGACAGGATTGCCAAATACCTTGCACACAAACAAATTACTGTTGGCGCAATGGATGAAAATATGTATGTTTTCTCTTCTCATTTTCACTTTATAATTAGTGTTTGGTGTAACCTTTATACAAGAATACATTTAGGGTTAGAATCGATACTTTTTACTTAGTGTGCAATTGTGATTGATGCTTGTATCGAGAAGTAAACAATTGCGATCCACCGATGCATTGGTGTATCGTCCCACTACTAGTAACTAATAACTAATTTTTTTCTTTGTAGAAGTAACCTGTATTCACATAAAAAACAAGACCCAAAAATGGGAACAGTTCTTAATGCTTCATTTTATATTATTGCATTAAACATGTTAAATGCAATCTCATAATACCTCTGAATTTAAGAAGTTATTACCTTTTAAAAAATCCCATTTTTATGACAAAACAACCAGTTTTTCCAACTTTGCCTGCCAGGGGCACCTAGTTTAGATTTGTAGATATATCCTTGCATACTGGAGAGAAAGGTTTATTTTCTTGCAGTGGCTCAACACGACCAATTAGTTGTGTTACGAAAGTGATGCTTAAGCTTTGTTTGTTGTTTAAGGCCGCACTCAGCAATATTCCAGCTACCTGGCAGTGGTCTGTAAATGATCGAGTCTGGACCAGACAATCCAGTGATTAATATCATGAGCATCGATCCACGCAATTGGGATCGATGACATGCATCAACCAAGTCAGCGAGCCTGACCATTCGATCCCGTCAGTCACTTTTTACGACAAGCGTAGTCAAAAGTGCCCTGCTGGTTATGAAAAGGGAGTTATCAGTTCTCATTATCATAATTATATTATGAAAGTGAAAGTACTCAACTAAATATTTCCTTTTGCATACAGATAGGGCCAGGTGGCATACCTCATGACATTGACTACCATGCCTGTTAAGGGTGATTCAAGTGTTAAGCTATAGGAAAACAAGATGATGTTAGTTTTCCTGAAATGTAACTTTCCCTTTGAGCTGGTAAAGTAACGCAGCTGTTAGCAGCAGGGTCCTTATTAAAATGGGACAGGGCAGATGAGCTGCATATTTGTCTAAAATAGCTAAAATAAATCACCATTACCCTATTATTTTGAGTTGCTTGTGCACAAATAGGCATGAAAAACTTCTCAAGCCTATTATTATAACAGCACGCTGCATAATTACTAGGGCTGGGATGAGTCCAAAATTACTTCCTGGGTATCCACCCTGCTATTATCCAACCCTACCCATGTACCCACAGTAGATCTCAAGAGTTGTGTACAAAATATCTGATTGGGAATAGTTTGACTGAGGCCTGGCAATATGTATTTAGATAAACGTATAAAACGATCTGGTCATGCATACACTGAAGTTGACTGAAGTTTTATTCTTATCCAAACATATAAAAGTCAGAAGGAATGAAATACGAACATTAGTGACTTGTAGTGTAACCATACAGTTTTAGATAATTTTTGTCGTAAAATATATGTAAATATATTATGTGACAAAGCACGGGTCCGGGTAACCGGGTCGTGCTCGGTGCCCACCCAACCTGAGTACCCGACTTACCCAACTTACCCATCCCAGCCCTAATAAACCTCAATTTTTAACACTTTTGTGCATTTATAGTGAACTTTAGTCGCCCACTATTAAAAAAACTGATTTATTTTGAATTTTGTTGCATATAAACTGGAAAATCAATATCAATTAATGTTTAGGCCTTCCGGTCTTCATATATCAATATTTATATGTCATAACAGCACAAGACAAAAGTCTTTTGATCATTAACAAAGTATGCAGAGGGACAGGGAAGAATGTAAGTGTATATCCCATCTATTGATTAATCACTATCAACTACGATAAATAACACATAGCAGTAGATACAACTTCATGCATTAATGAGATATCACCATGTTTACATGCAGAGCAGTGTTATTAGGTTGACATTATGACTCTACATTAACAGATTATATATATGTGGCATGTTTAGTGGAATTCTGACAATGACGAATGAGGCATTCTGGAGAGTTCTTTAGATGAAGTGCTATGGGGGTTCTACCTGTGGTGATTGCAGAATTAAATATTGCAGACTGTGACGACATACAACCAATTTCATTCTTGGAGATTGTGGGGACTGCAGGCAGCATGAAAAGTCCCTCAGTATACAATGCTTGTCATAACAGCCAACTAAGTTGAATCCAAGTTCACTCACATGCCCGTGAAGATCTGGGTTAGAAAGGGTCTTAAAAGGAGACTATGCTAGTCGTAAGAGGCGACTAACGGGATCGGGTGGTCAG